CCACACTCCTCCTAATGCACCCCAGGATGCCACTGGCCTTCTTGGCAGCCAGGGCACGCTGCTGGCTCATGGTCAACCTGTCGTCCACCAGGACACCCAGGTCCCTCTTCGCAGAGCTGCTCTCCAGCAGGTCCACCCTAAGCCTGTACTGATGCAGTACACAATATCACAATGATTGCCTTCTTAATCGCAAGAATGGTACAAAAACTATGTGCTACATCTACAAATTATCTTGTTTAACTTCTATTTTAATCTATTTTTACTGATGGCATTTCTTACTTATCCAAGGCAATTAACATTCTTGCAGTAAGTGTAGCAAAATGGGTGCTGGATTCACTGCAGACTCTCATGATGTCTTGTAAACAGTAGAACACAGGGCATCCAGGACTGTATGCGTATTTCGTATTATCTAAAAAGGAAACATACTCTGAAGACACATCAATGAGAAGAATAATCTTATTTTCCCTTCTGCATCTTTTGTAGTTAAACATTTCCAACCGAGAGTATATTCTAACTTTAGACTAGAGTACCTTAATTTTTTCCAAATGATAACTGATAGAAATTACATACAGTCCTCACACAACCATTCACAACTCAACCGGGTAGCCTTAAAAAACTTAAAGTGTTCAGTTATTATCCCATCAGTGTGATCGGCGTCATGTGAGGAATTAATACTAAATGTATACTGTTGCGAGAAAAAAAAAAAAGAGTCAGCACTACAAAAGGTATTTATTGCTATTGGTAACTCCACAATGGTATTTATTTGATAGTTTTTATCCTTAAGGCCTATCAGTATGGCAAAAATGAAGGAGCTTCCCCAAAAGCACAATGACATTTATTTCAGGCTTTTTTTAAAAATACTTTTCTGACAAGAAATTTACTTTGCCTTCTAAAGACTTAATTCACCATTCCTTATTCACACAAAACTGTTTACAGACATCATTAAGCATTCTTCCCTGAGTAAAGAACACTAAACTGAATAGGATGTCTTTCTTACACTTGCATTCAGTAAATTTTATACAAGTTAATGCATATGTTTTGAAATATAATCAAGTGAACAAATACAATTTAAATAGAAGTGTGCTACTGTTACAGAAACAAAGGCAATACATCGAAACCAAGTTTTTTTCCTTAATTTCAAGTAACTTTTTCAAGTTTTGAAGTATTCAGAGAGAGGTTTCCGCCTGAATGCAACTTATAGTGTTTAAATACAGAAAAAGCCATGTAGCATATTCATAAAAATTCTTAATAAACTCTGAACTGAACGTCTGCTAAAATGGGTGCAACTTCAGAAATTATGCTCATCATTACCTTTCACAACAGTTGGAACAATGTAAAGTGATGCCTCCTGGCCTGCCTTCTCTCCATCAAGAGGAAACTTCTTCATTAACACTACACGCTTTCCTAGCACAGTATTAAAAAAAGATAAAATAAATATTTAAGCAACAGAACAGAAAAAACCCAATCCATCTAGAGGTGGCTATCTGAAAGCTTACCAGAGACTCAATCTTCCTAATTTCTAGGCAGAAAAATTATTATTATAAGCTATAATATAAAGCAAACTAAGAACATATAAGTACATATGAAAAAACAAAGGACATAAATATGTATGTACCTATTAACATGAAAAGTTACATGATTGCACCCCTTTTTTCTTAGCTTTCTATACCACTGATTTTTTGTAGCATTTACACCCCAAACCACGTATGTTTAAGTTGCACAAGATTCTTTTTGAAATAAGAAAGTACAGCTGCATGCTATATTCCACCTTAGGGTGAATGCCCTTTTCATGTAGTGGCCTGACAGCATTTTCCACATTATCCTCCCTTCCACCCTTACAGAATTTAGCATTTTGTTTGCTTTTCTAACCTCAGCTGCGTATTTTGGCAGTGGCCACACTAAGCTGTGCATATTAATGCTTGAGCTCTCTGTACGAGTCAATTTAAAACTCCCTAAACTGTGTAAGAAACAGACAGTTCTTGCTTTTACTAGGCATTCCTCAATCATAGAATCATAGAATCATTAAGGTTGGAAAAGACCTTTAAGATCATCAAGTCCAACCGTCAAACGTGTATTAATGCTATCACGTTACTTCATGTTTGCTCCTCAACTAGCTTTGTTCAGTCCATCCAACTCCACTTATTGCCACCTGCAACATTTTACCATGCAAGCAGCCATTCCTTTTCTAAATTGTGAGCACTGCATTGTCTTGTCCATGCTGACAACCTTCCCAGTATAACCTCACTCACAAAGCAGAGATGAGGTACGCAGTGAAAAGAAGTGCTTTAGTCAGCATAGTCTATACCAACCTGGAAATTAAATTCACTGGCTAAAACAATTTTTGTCAGCACAAGCGTGAGGTTGTTTGCTAGATCAGCCATGCAACAACAACGAAAAACAAAATGTATTAATCAAATTATATCTTTAAGTGATACAGTCATGCCAGAAATGTTTTCATGTAGATACTGTCTACTAACAATGCTGGCTTTAGAACAGACTTCAGAAGCGATCAATTTGCTAGTTCAAGTCAAGTTTTAGATGAAATTAAGGATAAAAAGCCACTTCAATCTGGTTTACCAGAAGTTTAGCTATAAATCTCAATTTGAGGTGAAGAAGTAGTACTGACAGGCAACACTTCACTTAATTAAGCATTTTATAGAGCTGGAAGGTAAACAGCAGTAAATTAAAAGATTTTAGCTGTATAGTTGGCTTGGGATTTTTGATAAACCTCAAAACACACCTTCTTTTTATAAACTAATTTCATGCTTTTGCATAATCTTTCCATGCCCATTTAATTTACAAGATATTTTTATAGAACTATCAACAATAAATCAGATTAATTTTCTTTTACCTTTAATACCCTGATTGGCTGGTGAAATTGGTTTGGTGGCTTCTAATACATAATCCAAGATGCTCTGGGTTATCTCAGTGCCTCCCTGCAGTTTAGTTTCCAGCAAAACTTTCTTTCTTTTTTTCTTTTGGCCTTCAATGGGAACTTCGAGCAACAAAATCTTTCAAACAAGAATGAAACCAAAGGAGTTTAAGTACAACTGAAAAAAGTACAGAACCTTTTTTTTTTTTAATTGTTCTACTGTAATAGCAGTAACAAATTTCAGGAATTATTGAATGTGGAAGACCAGGATGGTGAAGTCAGAATGACCTCCACAGCAGCAAGGTTAAAAGAGAAAAAGACAAGGCTGCACCCTTGTACTGAGCAGCCCGTGGGGCAAAGGGCCCTGAAATGAAATGAAATACAAAGATACCACAAAACCATAAAGTGTTCAAATACCATAAGGATGGGGCAATGCATAGTAGGTATATGACACACATAGACATTATTTAAGCAATTATTGTCAGATTTTCTCTTCTGCTATATTACTACAAATTTACTATAACTTATATTTTTTTAATAGATAAATAACTAAATACACGTAAATAGTTTTACTTCGTAGGATTTAGCTCGATATTCCCGAGAATTCAGGCTCGCAGTATTTTTTGGGCGAATCACAGCAACATATGCATCTCCAATGTTTTCCAGGTTTCCCATCTCTCCTTATTTTATCACTGAAAACAATGAATAAACAGGAAGTAAAGGTTCTGTTGAAGAAAACAACAACACAAAAAAATCCAACACTACCCTAAACTTCAGGATGCAGTAATTATATCCACTGATTCTTTGCATTATTCATTTAATGTTCTTTAGCTGGAGAAATACCAATGGCTGACGTAATTCTGCTTCATTTTCATGAAATGAGAAAATCCTATATCACGTAGATTTAACACAAATAATCTTGTTCTCTAACCCACTTTTAAAATAATGTATTTTTTTTCCACTTTGTAACTATCTTCCCCATTTCGCAAGCCAGGCAAAAGGACAAAAAATTTTAGAACTCTGAAAAAAATATGAAATTGAAAAAGGAAACTATTCCAAAGTGACAAGCACTGTAATTTATAAAATCTACTATGACACAGTACTGCATTTGTATGAGTTCCACAGGGATTTCAAGAAAATACCTGATTTTCCTCCCCCCCTATGAAAGCAGAACAGTCTTACCTACAGCCCAAGTAACAAAGCTGATAAAAACAAACTAAAATACAGATTCATTCACTTAGTTTTACCTCAGTGGGGCTGCTAACTGGTGCATAACTAATTAAAACACAGAGCTTCTGAAAGGAACACCAGATCAGTTTTTGCAAAAAGCGGACAGAGTTTTTTAGATTTAAGATAAAACTTTGCTTACCCTTCTGTTTAACACAAAGTGACCATTCCTATAATCAGAAAATTTTATGAAAATGATAGTGAAAACCTCCTAAGGCTAAATCACGTCACATCTCAGACTTGAGAAAGAAGGTCATGCCTGGCCATTAGCACCTTACAGCTGATTGTTTTCTCCATCTGCAAACGAACCCCCTCTCATTCCACACCATCAGCAAGCACGTGGTTTTTGCAGATTAACCCCTCCACAAAGACTTCTAACCTTACCGTTTCTGGCTTCTTCACCTCTTCTAGGAGAAACAGAGGTCTTCAGATTCCCGTGCCCTTAGTCCAGTATTTTTGCTGGGATCAGACCACCTGAAAACGTATTAAAAAAAACCAACATCAACAACAGCACGCACGCTTTCACCTCCAGTTAAGACACATACATTAGTTATGAGGATTTAACGCTGGTACTTGAACAGTAGCATCTGAATTGAAACATCTGTTGATTTGCACTACGATAGCAACTAGAAACACTAACTGAGCAACGTGCTGACTCGTGACAGCTTAACGCTTTGGGATACTCGGAGTTTCGAACGGAACAAGGAACGATCGTCCCTTACGGGCAGCCGGGAAAGGCATGCTCCCCGGGCTTCCTTACACGCACTGGGTTATACTGGGTTTGGGTGACAGGCTTGCGGGGAGGGAACCGGCGCCTCCCAGG